GGAGAGAAAGCACGGATCTTCGCTGATCTCCTTTTGCCACAGGCTGCCGACATAGACGTCCCTTGCTCTCCCGCTTCTGTCAGGAAGTATCGGGACTTGCTGATCAAAGCCCGCGCGAATATGCAAAAGGCTCAGGTCCGCATGCTGCAGCAAGCTAACCGACGTCGACTTCCATGTCCTTTCCGCGAGGGAGACCTTGTTTGGGTCCTCTCCGAGGAATTTGCGCTCGAGCAGGATGTTTCGCGCAAACTCCTTCCGAAATGGTTCGGACCATGGGAAGTCACTTCTGCCGTTGGAGACGACCCCGCCGGTCCTTCCTTCGTGATCAACATTCCACCGCACCTAACAGTGCATCGGGTCTTCCATGCATCGAAGTTGGCCATCTACATGCCACCTCCAGCTGACGAGTTCCCCGGACGTCGATCACAGGATCCGCCTTCTATGGACGGACACCAGGAAGTTGACCAAGTCATCACGCACCGCAAGTATGGCAACAAGCCAAGGCAGTACAAGGTCACATTCAAGCAATGTGCGCTTGATGACACTCGGTGGATCTCCAGTGAAGATTTGCAGACTTCTGCACCCCTCATCTTCACAGACTATGAGAAGCGACGCCTTGCTAAGGACGCAGCTCGTCCCGCCCGACCCACCTCGGTATCGGACAGACAACTTCGCCCTCGCAGGTAGCTCGGACTTTTAAGAGGGGGAGTGTGTTACATCTTCGACTCACACGGGTCCTACCGGACCCGACTTAGGGCTGGAGGGACACACCAGGGCCTAAAGGCCCGACCTTTTGGGGTTACAGGCCCTAAAGGCCTGATTTTGGACCAGCACCCATCGGGTAGGCCCAAACGACACTTCGTTTGGGCCTGGCGGCGCTCTTGAAGCTGCCGCCCGCCGGTTGAGGCTGAACCGTCCATCTGGACGGTCCAAGTAGTTGTAGGTTAGGTCTAGGCGGATACGAGTCCAACCAGTCTGGGTCTAGGGCCTGTGCGGGCAATATCAGAGTCTGCAATGATGTTTCCCTCCGAAAGGGAGGAGGTACCGGTTGCTTGGAAGGCCAAGCGGCCTGGAAGTCACCGCCCGAAGAGGCAAGCAGGCCGCTATATCTCCCAGCCGGGCGAAGAGCCCGGCCTCATTTTCGGTGTGCAAGTTTGGCGACGAGCTGGTTGGAGCGCCGGTTGGAGCAGCGCTATCCAGGAGCAGCGCTGCTGGGGGAAGGAGAAGGACACGGAGGAGGAAGAAGGACAGGAAGGAGGAGGAGCGCCAGGGGTACTTACCTGGCTATGGTGGCAGCCATCTTCATCACCTTGGTGGGCGCTGCAGCAGGGAGTCCCCAACTGGGGAGAGCTACACCAAGAAGCTTCGAGGCAGGGTCGGGCATGGCGGCCTGAGCTAGAGCAGCCATAGCTGCTTTGGGTTGTCCTTTGGGCATCTGGGCAAGGCCTAGTAGTCCGCCATAGCCTCGGCCTATGAGAGTGAAGAGTGGGAGAGGCGGCCACGGCTATGGTGGACATCAAGTGATACCTGCAGTAGAAGAGGGAATCGGAAATTGATTCTCGATCAGCCATTCAACATTGTATTATTATTTCTTGTATGAATAAGAGAAGGGGGAGATAAGGAGGAGGAGATTGTTGGCGAAGAAGAAGAGCCTTGTCATCTGTCTATGCTGGTGTACATCATCTTCTTCTTCTTTCTTACTTCTTCCTCTTCTTCTAATCCTCTCTCTCCTCTCAAGTTCATTCATTTCTTTCTGCAATTGGACGGCATTGTACTATCTGATGGATGTGTATCTCGAAATTGGCCAGGATCATAACAGTTTGTTTGTTTGCCTGTGTGTGTGTGCGTGTGTGTGTGTGTGACCTACTGACATCACGGGTGAATTTCGCGGACTGTTGGTTCCCACCACCCACTGGGCCAGGGAGTCACTCCGACGAACATCCATCATCACCTGTAGGGCAGACAGACATCCCGAACTGAGCAGCCCCCCTAAGAGTGCTGCAGAGTCTGTGCAGACACTCTGACCGACTGTTTGGCACTGCTTGAGGGTGCTCAGTTGAGCATACAAAAAATACTCTGAAACAATCAGAGAAGGGACAGACAACAAGAGAAAGTCAGACAGACATACAACTGATTGTGTGTGTGTGTTGGAGATTGTCATCACAAAAGCCCCTGTTCCATCCAGACGAGTATATCCAAAATCGAAGCAGCTTCACCTTTGTTGCAGACAATGAAGCACACTTGTGATGAGCCTGTCCAACAGTGAAACAGTTTTACTACCTCTATAGCAAGAATGTGAAGCACAGTAGATCCGGTATAGTATCCCCTCTTGACTATCCTTACTTTGGTTTTCTTTGGGTACCTTTTTATTTGATCTTGCAGCTCCCCTATTACTGTGCCTCTTATGTACAAGGCTCGCCATGTTGATTGTGGTTGAGTGCGAGCTGCCCGCATCCCCGTGTGCCTCAGTGACCCACTTGCACACTATGAAAGGAGGCAGAGTAAAGGGGGAGGTATATTCCAGTTTATTATTCCTCAGATCTTCAGCTTACACTTTGTCTCTTCTCCTAATGACGCTCATTCATATGCATTTACTTATAGTACACAAGAGGAAGGAGGAAGGAAAGGGGTAGGGGGTGGTGTTCTATAGGAAGCAAGGGGCGGGCGAGGGTGAAGGGAAAGGGGGAGGGGAAGAGGAAGAGTGTGTGTGTGTGTGTGTGTGTGTATGTGTGTGTGTGTGTGTGTGCGTGTGTGTGCCAATAAAGCACATAGCTGATAGCTTCATCACGATACCTAAACATGATCCGTACCAACATATCGATCAGGATGTACCGGGGAACTATAGCACTCACATCTTTTCCTCTTCAGTTCGAGGCACTTGTTGCAAGTAGATCAGATTCACAGAGACACTTTACGTGCAGTTTAGTGAGGCAAAATACAGTGATATGGTCTTGCATGCTGCACTTGCCACACGGGCCCCGTTTTGGGGGCCCGATGGTTGGAGAGGGCCCCTAGGCACGGTGGCTGTGCCATGCAGGTCCAGTTTTGAGGCAGCATTCATTCATCTTTTTACCTATTTATTTTTGCTGACCTTTTGTCTGTTCCAGGGCATCATTTCGGACTTTTCAGTTGTTCGAACAGACTGGTATTTGTTCGAACCAAGGCCACGTTTTGGGCCTCTTGGGAGGCCAGGTTCGTGACTGGGCCATTTTAGGCCTGGTTCGGTTTCGTCTGGTAGTGGACATTCCCTGCTGCATCAGAAGCTGGACGTCCAGTAAGGACCCAGGCAGGCCGTTTTTGGCCAGGACCAGAGGAGCAGGACATTTGCCTGCAACGTGGACTGTCGATCAATCGCACGGCCCAGATTGCAGACCGTGGGCATGGAAGCCAGACCCAGCGCTATATCTAGCTGGGCAAGTCCAGTTCCTGGACAGACAGGAGTTCCGACTCCTTTGGGGCGACATGCTGCTGGAGGAGCGCGCTATTCTGAGCGCTGCGCTATTGTGGAGGTATAGGTAGAGGTGTAGGAGCTAGGAGAGGAGAGGGAGAGGCGGTGGCCATACCTGCAAGGTGCGGACAACTTACCTGGGCGCCATAGCTCGCTCCTTCGCCAGTGACCTGCAGCACAGAGAGGCATGGTAGTTCGTTAGTCCACAGCGGCAGGTTACCTGCAGGTGAGACAGTGGAGAGGTCGACATCACCTTCTTCTTGCTGTTCTCGCCCTCCATCTCTTTCCTTCCTTCCTTCCTTCTTCTTCTTCCTCTTCTTCTTCTTCTTCTTCTTCTTCTTCAGAGAGAGAGAGAGAGAGAGAGAGAGAGAGAGAGAGAGAGAGAGAGAGAGAGAGAGAGAGAGAGAG